CGACCCGATCAGGTGAGTAGGGGGCGGTATTCCAATAGTTATTTGTACAGTGCTGCCAACGTAAGTGCACTGTGGCAAGTTCACAAATTTAATTGTGGGACCGCGACAAATGATGGTGACAGCTCTCATGGACATTCCAGAAAAAGATTTCCAAAACTGCTTTGACTGGTGGATTAGGCGCCGGCATTGGTGCATAGCTTCCCAAAGGGAATACTTTGAAGGTGATCATAGTGGTATTCAGCAGTGAGGTATGCAGCACTTTTTCTAGGATGGTTCGTAAATTGTCGGATCTCATATATACTAATCACAGGGAATAAGACCCTCGGAATGCGAGGTTTTCTCTCCCCCAACCCCTTTCAGGGATGAGCTAGTTCCTGTTTCACTCATCCCTCCCCAGCAAACTCCCCCCGGTCCCTACCCTCACCCTGACGCCACCCAGCAACAGCTCTACTCAGAGGAAAGAAGAGAAGAGGACCCATCTTGTCCCTACTTCTTTCCAAAGTCTGGGATTTTGAGGATTCTGCATTTTGAAAATTCCCCAATAGGGGGTTGGATTAGGAGCTCTTCTTGCCAGAAAAATCTGGTCTTTTTCTGAGACAGGATCTCTCTGTCACTCAGGCTGAAGTGCAGTGGCATGACCACAGTTCATTGTAGCCTTGAACTCCTGGGCTCAAGCAATCCTCTTGCCTCAACCTCCCAAGTAGCTGGGACTACAGGTGTGTGCCACCATGCCTGGCTATGTTTTTTATTTTTTGTAGAGACAAGGTCTTGCTATGTTGCCCGGGCTGGTCTTGAACTCCTGGGCTCAAGCAATCCTTTCGCCTCGGCCTCCCAAAGTGCTGGGATTACAGGCATGAACCACCATGCCCGGCTGTTTTTTTAAACTGGTTTTTCCTTTTATATTTTTATATGGGTTGTTCATTTTGCTTGGGATGAAGTTTCCGTGATCTGGCCACATTTATTCTAAAAGACTCCACAGTACAATTTTAAAGGACTAAATCAGCAGCTCTGGGCTTCTAACTTTGGGCTACACATTAAAATAACTGGGGAGATTTAAACATTATCAGTGGCAGTCTATACTCCTAATCCTGATTTAAGTAGTCTGGGAGGGGCCTAGACATTAGTGGGGTTTTGTTGTTGCTGCTTTTGTTTGTTTTTTGAATCTTTCCAGTGATCCTAATGTACAAACAGGGCTGAGAAGCATGAGCCTGACCTTGTCTTTTAATTGTTCATAATTTGATACATACCTTTATAAGCATCACTGATACTTTTTGCTGTTGTTGTTGCTTTTATTTTTTTAGTTGGGGTCTCACTTTTTTGCCCAGGTTGGAGTGCAGTAGCACAATCACAGCTCACCATAGCCTCAACATCCTGGGCTCAGGTGATCCTTCCACCTCAGCTTCCTGAGTAGCTGGGACTATAGGTACATGCCTCCACGCCTAGCTAATTTTTCTATTTTTTTTTTTTGTAGAGATGAGACGAGGTCTCACTATGTTGTCCAGGCTGGTCTCAAACTCCTGGGCTCCAGCAATCCTCTCACCTCGACCTCCCAGAGTGCTGGAATTACAGGCGTGAGCCACTGCACCTGGCCTACTGATACATTTTATATGTGGATTAACAAAGATGAAATATAAAAGCATTTTAATTATTTATACTTTGAGTGGTCAGTTGCTCAAAGTATTTCTTGAACAGCCAATGAAGCACGAGGGAAGAGAAGCATATAGTTGCGCTTCAAAAATATTTTTAACTAGCTGGATGACAGAACACACACATCTGAAAGCCTCAGGGAGCACCATCTGTGGTGACACCCAACCCCCAAGACAGTTTTGGAATTCCACAGACAAGGAAAGCATTATCAGGTCACAGTGACTTGAAGGTAGAGTTCATGATTTAAGGAGAGAGACGGCTACACCAGTAACCACAACTTAACACCAAATTAGTTGTTACCTTTGACTCACGCATTCTGTCCCCAAGTTCTAATTTATGAGGTATCATTTAGAAATGCAGAGGGTGTTTAGAGGTGAAATCGATGGCTGGGATTTGCTGTGTCTGGGAAGTTTTAGAAGGGCTTCCAGGAATGGGAAAGAGGAAAGGACATTCCAAGTTTGTGAGGGGACTTGAGCCATGGCATACAGTCCCATGCGGTGTTTTCATGTTTGGAAGATTACGAGAGGTTGAAAGCACATAGACTCCAAAGTTGGGAATATGGAGTCCAGGGCAGGTCTTGATGGTGGGGACAGAGAGTGGAAGTGAGGAAGGAGCTCAAGTGTCCGAATTTCGTGCTTGAGACTAGAATAATGGTGATGCCATTGACTTGGAAGGAAAAGCTCGAGGGACAGCCAAGTTTGGATCTGGGGTTTCAGGTGAAGACAGGCCATCTAAGGGATGATCAGGAGGCAGGTGTGTCTGGATTGGAGCTCCAGGACCACAGCCCAGGTGAACCACCTACACCTGAAGTGTAATTTCAGAGCTATCTGCAGAGAGGACAATGGAGAGCTAAGTCTAAATCAGGAGCCAGGTGGAGAACCGTCCCATCTCTCCTAGTGATCCACAGACTCTGAGGAGGAGGCTTGGTCAGTGAAGCACGATGGTCAGAGGAAGGGAGGACCGAAGGAATTCACTTTCCAAGGTCATCTCATGAGGGACTTCAAAGTGGGATTTGACTTTTAGAAACGCTTTCAGCACGTGGGACTCTCAAGTCAAAGTGGAAGGTCTTAAAATTGGCCACACACGTCTCAGCATAAATGTGTGGAAGGAGATGTGTTCACACAGCAAACCATCCAAAATATTTTGTGTCCTCAGCGCTGATGTCAGACCACCAACACCCATCAGTCGTCCATCAGCCCAAACTATTCCAAAGGTGGTCTCTCCATTCTGTGCCTCTGGAGGGAATGATGGTGACGTGTACTCATATCATAAAAAAGCATCCCTTCTAATCTACCCACATGAATGCAGGAACACATGAAAATACCAACTCTAGGATTTGTTGCATTCCTCCTTGCTCGTTTGGTTTCTCCATTGCTGCCACTGGGCACACATCTTCCAAGTGTGAGGAGAGAAGAGTCAGAAAATGCACCAGCACCGCAGATTCTGGAATCATAGCAAGCAGCAAATGCAGCCACATGATCCTCAGTGGGTCCCTGGTTACCACAAGGCAGCTCTATTCCCCGGCCCACTAGAAGTTGGGACAGGCTTCTGAACATGTTCTTTCTGAAACCAGTTCCATTCCTCCAGGAAGCAGTCCCAGTGCCCTAGAAGGTGCTGCCAAGGAACAGAAATGGATTCCCTTCACACAGCTCCTACTTGAGAATACTGCAGCACCCAGGCATGGGGAGGCAGGAGGTAGACAGCCGGTCTCTGTGCAGCCTGCTCTGGCAGCACTGATGCTTACAATTTATGAGAAGCCATTATGAAAAAAGATCCTGGGATTCTGTAGGGAGCCTGCTCATGATTTAGACAAAGCAAAGCCCATACAGACTGATCCTAGGTCTGGAAGGCACTTTCATTTTACACAGTGAGGGGAGGGGTGGTGGTGATTCCTCAGTGTATTTTGTTTTGTTTTGTTTTTGAGACAGGGTCTCATTCTGTTGCCCAGGCTAGAGTGCATGATCCCAGCTCACTGCAGCCTCAGGGCAGTGCCATCACAGAGGCTGTTTGATGCTTCAAAATGATCTTTTGTTTAGGTTTTAAAGTTTTATAAAGATTTTGGAGCTGGGCTGCCTGGGTTTGTAGCCTGACTCGACTCCTCTTAGCGGTGGGACCTGAGGTAAGGGGCTTCCCCAATCTGTGCCTCTGTTTCCTCATCTGTAACTTGAGGATAATAACTCTGCCTGCCCTACAGAGCTATTAGGAAGATGAAATGTGTTTATATGTGTTAAGGGATTAGACTGATGCCCAGCAAGTCACGTGTTCCATAAATGATACTTACCGACATATTCGATAAGGCAGAAAACCACACAAAAATCTTCAAGAACTTGATAAAATACTTTAAAAATAAGTTTATTATAACTAATGAATATAAAATCTGACAGATATTTTCAAACATTTTTGCAGAAAAAGTAAAACCCTCCCCTGCTCTCTCCCCACAAGATACAGAATAAGAACCTGGACAGAGAAACAATACAAGCCTAAACATGAAGTTCTCATTCATTGGTTGGTCCTAAAAGGCCCCAACACATTATATCCTAAGTAAAGGTCCATTAAATTAAGATGTCAACAAACCACTTTACACTTTTGTAGTTGAACTTGCTTTCTACTGTCATCATGATGCTCACTCAAAATGCAGAGGGACAAGAACAGGTAACATGAGACTGCATGTGACAGATATTCAAAGTGCATGAATCTATGAAACCACAAACATTCATAGGAATACTGGGTGTGGAATTAAACATTGACTTAAAAATTAATCCAAGGAAATCTATGTACATTTTAGCCTTTGGCGTCTGGTCTAACATGTTTTTTCTTTATACAGACATCAATTTTTAAATTCTATTCACCAGATTAAGTTTATCTGAACACACTTCTCATCTGACACAGATTGTCCACAGCCAATTTCACATGAGGTAGTTGGGCTGTTTAATGACATTCTAGTGAAATTCTCATGACACATGTGAATCTTTCATTAAACGTGCCATAGAACTGGCTCATTAGCCTTCTGGGAAGGCTAATAAGACTGACTTCTGGATCACCCTTCCTATCAACACTGATTCCACAGACACCTATAACATACATACACAGACATCTGTGTGGTTGAGATCAGCTGGCAAGGGTGCCCACCATCCCAGGGTGGTTTCCATCTGTAAGGGACAGGGAGGAAATACTGACCACGCTTTAAAATATATGAAATATTTAAAATAAGTAGGATATTGTTCTTATGTTCTCACATAGCTTAGCTGAAAACATTTGTTCACGCTGAAAGAGAAGTGATTAATAAGGATAACCAAAGAATTTTGAAAATTTTTGCATTGCAGAGTAGTGGTATGTGTATTTTTCCTTTTAATTAAAGGTTTTACAAAAACAGCAAAGGAGACAGATCAATGCATGCGTCAACTGTACCGGAGAGGCACTGCAGTGATGGTTTAATCATGCCCTGGAGTGCCCGAATGCAGCAATGCAACGAGAATCATGCAAATGGTCACTGTACATGGGACCATCAACTGTCTGAGACAGGACAGGAATTGGGAACATTTACAAGGAAGGTCTAGTAAACAGCATGTTTACGGAATTGTTGAAAGAACCCCTATGATCTTGTAATAGATGAACAGTCTTAAAATACCATTAGACAGATAATGAATTATGTCATTACTATGAAACCCCTGAGTAAGCAACTGCAGATTACAAAGGGACAGACAGAAGTAGGACATATTTCTAAATAAAGCATTCTATATACACGTCACAGGGATACAAATTTACCACACATACTGAAGTCTGTGTACAGACAGTACAAGACCACAAAGAGCATCTGAAGTCATGCCCCTGTAAGACCAAACACCTTAGCTCAACTAACAGAATAATGGTTTAAAATATGTTTTCTTACTTATAAATTCTACACCTAAAAATTTTTACATTTAAAAAAGGTTGACAGTTTATCTTTTAAAAAAAAAGAATGAAACATGAGGGTGGGGGAGCCGAACAGTTGTAAAACCTATGACTAAAATCAGAAGCAACTGGTTTTAGTCAATGATCCAGAAATGCACCATTACGTAAACAAGTTATTGTAGGACATGATAGTTTAGTAAGAAATAACAAAAAATTGTTTTCCTCTGGAAAGTTCCCAAATCACATCATCTTCTATTGCTCATGGCCCTCTGACTCCACTGATATTTCTTCATATGATTATCAAACCAGTAAGTTTCCTTAAAAAGAAAGCTCTTACTTCAGCTCTTCTCCTCATTTCAAACTTAGGACAGAAAAGTACACTTTATTTATTGGTCCCTATCATATGTTTTTCTTAATTAAAAATACTTTTCTGAAAATATAAAGTTGAAAGCATCAATCTTTTGGAAATAGTAGCCAAAAAGAGAAGAGTGCAAACTTTTCCAGCAGCACTCCCCTAATGAAAGACCACCTTCCTGGGTGCCACACACCACGGTGCTCACCTGCTTTCCTGCTAAAGGGGAACAGGGGCTCCTCAGGCAGTGCTTGCAGTCTGGGAGAGAACAGAATCCCCACAGACTGGGCACCCAGCCTCAGGCTAGGTTGGTCCCAGATGCTCTACATATGTGCTAGAAGCTACACTGAGGAATGGGACGGATGTAAGGGGGATAGACCGGTGTGCTGATGGGGACACTGCTGGCAATTCTCAGCAGCAGAGAAGAGAGAAAAGCAGCAAGGCTGAACTATGGAGTTCAGAAGCTCATCATGAATAGATGCTGGAGAAGCTTTATGTTCAGAAAGACATGCAAACAGTGATATGAAGGTTCCTCAAGCCACTACTTACATATCCTCAGGAATGTACCTTCAGAGTCAATGCCCTGGTACCAGATGCTCAATGTTCTGAGAGTTTCTCTTCTGGAACACCCTACAGAAGTGGATCAAGAGCTGGTGAGAAAATCACCTCCCCAGAGTTACAAGTTGGTTTTGCTCCCAAAAGGTATCCCTCCAAGTTAACACTGTTCACCAGGATGAATCTGATTTGCTTTCAAAGGGCAAAAGACTTGGCTTCATTGAAATTTTTTTTGTATGGATCAGTAAACATACACTGAGCCCTACAAGTTGTAAAGCCTGGCTTCTACCATGAGGAGAAATGCAGGCAACAAGGAAATTCTGTATTCGGAAGTGTATCATGAAGGGTTAGCCAAATGTTACTTATTCGTGTCTACTAACACCTAGAAGACATATGTCCTTTTTCTTCAGGGTATCTCTAAATGTTATGCTAGAAAAGGAATCTTAGAAATGTTTTGGGCAATGAGAACAAGGTGATTACTCTGTCAACAAACATACTAGAGTTTCCTCATCCCCTCTTATGGTCACAGTGAAAGAAAGCTTAGGGGTCCCAGAAATCTGGGAGGGCTATGGAGATAAAGCGCTAAGTATCTTTTCTCATTGCCCTCTTCTTGGAAAGTAACTGCACATCAGCACAAATTATGACTTTAACTAAAAGGAAAAAGCAAATACTGTAGATCTAGGAGGAAGCTCTGACTACGCCAAGGTTCAAGTTAAGTTGAATTTATTGTTTAGTAATAGGTTCAATTTCTAGTTATTTTTATTTAAGGATCCTCAGTTTTATACATCTTAGGCAAAGTTTACACCTCTTAGGCAAACTTAATATGCTCCAGTGAGGAAGATATTTATCTAAAAACATTACCCTCTTTTGACAGAGCTGGGAAAATAGTGATTAAAATGTAACTTATTCAAGTTATTCAAGCTATTTTGTCGGGTCTGGGTTCCCAATGATCCCAGATAATACCAAACCGCTTTTCCCCAGAAAAATGAGTCATGTACACCTAGGCAGTACCTTTACAAACGTGAAATGCCCACGCTGAGCAGCTTTCCTTCTGTGTGTATTCAGAGCCTTGGCGGCAAACCTGAGGTATTTTCAAAGTGCCCACCTCCTCTCAAGAGACCACAAGAGTTCACCTGAGGTGACAGGCAGCACACCAGCAGTTGCTTAGAATGATCATGCTTCATAGTAGTCACAGTCTCCTTGCAGCATCCCCTCTATAGCTTACAATGACTAAAGCATCTTCATTCAAAGTGCAAACAAAGACTGGTTGCTTTTTCTGTTTCCCTTTTAGGAGGCTATGGCAAGGGCAGGCGTCTACAGTGTCCCCTGGTCCTGCCATCACATTCAAACGAAGCAGAGAAGGGGATCCACACTAAGCAGTCATGGGAGTGGGAGGAAAATAACACGTGTACCTTGGCAAGTGCTAAAATATAAAATAATCAGCATCATTTTAGCACACTTTTCTCCCTAGTCTTAAAACATGTGATGTTGGTTTTCTAAGTTTAACAATTTTCTAGAAGTCCTATGTGAGCAAAATACTTGCTTTATTAATTTGAGCTAAATAAATGTCCATCTGCTTAAAGACAGACAAAAGGTAAAATCAATACCCCTCTCTACATGAACCTTTCTGCCTAAAGAGAAGATTCTCTCTACCCTAAAGATCTGTAGCAGGAACAGCATCATCTAGAACTGCTTAGTTCACCTGAGCTACTCATGGGACCTCATCTTTTCCCTGGGGAACTACCTCATGCTGGAACTTCCCTTCCTGTTACTTAGAAGGAAGGAGCCACCAATGGGCAAGGTACCCATGGCCTCTCTCCTCTGCATACTCTAGGCAGCTTGGTCTACTGACAAGAGTAGGGCCAAGGTTTCGGCATCACGCCGTGCAGAAAAATGCCCGCCCAACATTGTTTTATAAAATACTTAAGTCCTATCTTTAAACCCTGATACCATCCCAAAGCTTTTGAGACTAATAAACAGCTGCATTTAGCTTGCTCTGCACTCTTGGTGATTAAAGCAAGATTGATCAGAAAGCAGATTCAGAGCTATCGCCCCTGAATGCAATGCCAAGGCCTACTGGCTGGGTGCCAGTGCTACCTCGATTAAGAATGATGCTGAGTAGACTCGCTCTACTCCTCACTCTCCATTTAGCTATTTTATTTAAATGATGGCCTCTTTGTCTTTGAAAAAAGAATGTATCATGTAGTTCTTATAGAAGACTGGGAATTCTGTAAACTAGAACTTACTCTATTTAATTTTTTGTACCATGTGCAAAATAATTACAAGGAAATTTATCGAAGTACAGATTCCCAAGTCCCACACGCTAGATTCTGGTTCTTTAGATCAGAATAAAGCCTGAGGATCTGCTCTTTGAACAAGCACTCTATGTGACTTTGATGAAGGTGCAGCCCAGATCACACTTGGACATGTGACTGTAAACAGATCCCTCAACCTCTAAACATTACTTCTGAAGTGGGGTAATGATCCCTATGAATTTACAGTTTCCTTGTGATGTTCAATTGAGACAATGCATAGGAAACATGCTGGCAAAGGGTAGGCCTAGCTAGGTGTCATCTCAAACGACCTGTCCTGCTTCTCCCTGTTCTCCCCTCAAACTTGGGGTTAGGGCATACCACTTGTATCCTCATAGCCACAGCCTCCTGCTGCCAATATGGCACTCCTGTCCATGTCTTCTCCACCTCCTACAAATGCATAGTCACAAGGATGCCCTGAGCTTCTTTGCTATACAGGTTTTATCACCGGCAGAGCCAGAGAGGAGGAGGAGCCATTGAAGACCACCTAGGAACAGCTAGGTTGTTCTACATAGCTTCAACAAAAGGGCAAACACTCTCTCCAGGTGTTTAGTCTAATTCTAGGTTGGTTGAAACACTGGCTATGAATTTGTTCATTTTCAGCTTGAGTTTGGGTGGTTCATTAAAACTAAAATAAAAACAATACAAAATAACAGCAAATTCATTTTTCAAATCTGCTCTTGCAACTTGCCGTTCAAGTCTGTAACAGCTATGATTTGGTTTCCAGTAGGCCTGCTGAACTGAAATATATAGCACCTTGATTTTTAAACACACAAATCACATATTCATTTTAAAAATGATATATAAAAGCACTGGGTTTTGCCTCCTCCCGTCCATCCCCACAAGTGAACGGGCTGGAGTGGGTTGAGGCTGTTGCTGGAAATAAAGTAGGGCAACAGAACATTTAGCAAACGGTATTCCCTGAAGTTAGGAGGCGCTGTCCTGCAGTCGTCATACGACCTCATCAGACTCCAGCCCGTGGACCTCATATAAAGTGTCCAGTATGGCCAGCTGCTTCTCCATGGCAGGAAGGTAAAGGCTGAGGTCCCGCTGCATCCCGGCACTGAAAGCTTCTTTCTGGTGGTCACCTTCCTTTATGGTTAACGCGGCCACAAAATCTTCATAGGTTGGGGCTGCCCTTAGAGCTAGCTGCAAAAGAACCACTCGTGAGACTGCAACAAATCTGTCTCTCATACACCTGTTTTTAATGCATGCTTACGCGCACAGACACACACACACACACACACACACACACACACACACACACACACACACACAAAAGCAAAGAAATATGAATACCTGTCTAACTTGTGGACTCCCTAAAATTGTGCTCCAAGCACCAAATCAAATAACTTTA